TCCCCCCTCCGCTCCCACCTCCCCCATCCTCCGTGTGGCTTCACCGGGCCCGGTGGCTGCTGCCCAGCCTCCTGCCCGTGGATGAACGGGGCAGCCCCCGGGCCGCGGCCCGCCTCCCTCCCGGGCACTTCACCCTCTGCCAGCCCTTTGAGGCAGCCGCGTCCCGGGATCCTGGTCCCTGCTCCCGTGCTGCTGGCGCTGACGGCAGGCTGGGTCCCTTTGCAGCTGGCTCATCGCCATCCTGGCCCAGGCCAACCCCCTCTTCGGGCCGCAGCTGAAGAACGAGACCATCTGGTACGTGCGCTTCCTCTGGGAGTGAGCAGCCCCCGGGAGCCGGCGCCTGCACGGAGACCCCCACCACCGCAATCGTCACTGTGAGTGGGCAGAGGGCTGGGGTGGCAGAGGTGTCCCCACTTGCCTGCCTGTGTCCGGCTGGGGAGGGAGCTGCAGCCCGGTCCTTGCTGGGTGGGAGATGCTTTGGTTTTTGTCCATTGTGGCTGCGGTGAGCTGGTCGCAGTGTGGGGCTACTGGCTCTGCGCTGGGCCTGAGAAAACCGAGCACTTCCCCCTGAGTCTGTGGTTCTCTAGATTTGTGGGGGCTCCCTCATGGGTGCAGTTTGGTGCTAACTTCTCCTCCTTTCTCCCTCCCCCAGCTCTTGCTACTGTTCCAGCCTCTACCCTCCCATACCAGGCAGCCCCCAGAGGTGCTGGGACAGAGGCTGGACCCGCTGCCCCAGCGCACCCTGAGCACTGCAACCTGGACCAGTGATGGCTGGGCCCCTGAGCATGGCAGGCAGCACCCCTGCCTGGGATGAGGGCCCAGTAAGCCCGGCCCTGGGAGCAGCCACGCTGCCAGGGAGAGGTCTGCTCAGCTGGCTGAGTGCTGCGGTCACTGACACTGAGCACTGTCCTAAGAGAGACCTGTGTGTAGTGCCAGCAGATCCTGCCCCTGCAGTGCTCGCCCCGCTCCCTCCAGTGTGCTAGTCCCCCCGAGTGAAACCCCTGCTCGTAGCCCAAGCTGCCCAACTCGTTACCATATCCCTGGTCATTTCAGGCACTGGCTGCCCCTCTGCATGAGAAGGCAGGAGCCCATAGCATCCTCTGTTTTATGGTCAGTCCCCTGCAATGAGCGTGGTCCTTGCTAAGACAGATTCTGGCTGTGGGTGTGAGAAGGGAGGGCTGACCCTGGAGGAGCATGCGGACCCCCTTGGTGTGATGAGGGAGATGCTGGGGTGCAAAGCAGGCGGTTCTGCTGCTTGGCAGCCTGCTGGAGGGGATTAAAGGGGTGCTGTGTCTCCTCCCGCCTCAGCAGTGAGGGTGCTGCAGTAGTGTCTAGGTACCACCACCCCCCGCAACCTGTGTCCAGGTTCTGAGAAGAACTGAGTAGGGCATTGTGTTTTAGGTGTCCCCTTATTTATCATATAATTTATCTGTATTTATTTACTTGTCTGTATTTGTTAAATTTGTGTTGTGGAAATAAATCCTTTTTCTAGTAAGTGATGCTGAAGGGAGAGTCACTTGCTGCTTTGAGGCTGAGGAGCAGTCTGGGCTTTATTCAGACTTCTTCCCTTCCCCCTAACCCTGCTCTTGCACCATGAGAACAAGGCTGGGATCCTCAGCTGTTGAGCAGGAGGTTGGCAGCATACTGGTGCATGGAAAGTTTTATCGTTGCTGCCACCTGTGCACTTGCTCCTGTGGGACCAAGGTCACAGGCAGGCAACAGCATGTGCTATAGAGGGAGAACTGGGTACCTGCCCAGCCTCTCTGGTGGTAGGCAGCTGTGCTGGAGCCATCCCCATGGCTGTGCAGCAGCTGGGGAAGCTTAGTGGCCTCCTTCCCAGGCTGTGGTAGGGAATAAGGCAAAAAGCAGGGAGCAACATCTTCAAGGGGCTCTGAGTGGGCAGGCTCAACTTCCTTGTCTTGGGAGGAGAGAGGGGGGCAGCAAAGGATGCTGTCTCCAAGGATCACAACACTCCGGTTTGGATCAGAGCTTCCTTTTCTGCTACCAGCTCTGGAGTCAAGCTCAGCTGTCCTGCTGCTGGAATCACAGAGAACATCTGCTGGCAAGAAAGCAACTCCATTGTTCCACCGTGGTGGCACAAAGCAACGCTGTGCAGATGCGTGCTGGCCCCCAGTCATGCCGCCAGCCCGGAGCTGTCGCTGCTGGGGAGGTGCTCGCTAGAAAACAAGACCAGTGCTGGATGGCTCAAGGGGTTTGTTTATTGCTACAGGAATGGGAACAGTTGAGTTCAAGTCAAACATGATGAACTTCATTGGGTCCTTGGGGGGCTCCAGCCCCAGGGGAGGAAGGCTCATGCCTGTGCGCACAGCTGCAGCTCAGACCTGCCCTGGGGCAGTGAGCTGGGCTGGAGTGAGGTGGTTCCCCCATGGGCAGGCCCAGCCTGCGCTCACAGGGGAGAGAACCACTGGTCCTGGTGCTAGTGCCCGATTAACGTGTGGGACACCACAGGGCAGATGTGCCCAGGAGGGAATGTATGAAAGGAAACACAGCCCACTTTGGTGGTGCCGTAGGAACCGATCCCTGAGCCCTCGGTGCTGAGCCTGGGGCGTTGGCTAGGACCGTGGGAGGATTGTCCTGGGAGGGGAAGACATGGCCAAAGAGCAGGATGCTCCAAGAGGGACTGGGCTGGGCAGCAGAGCTCACAGCTCACTTGATTCCTGTGGTGACTTTGACTTTGCTGGCACCTGCTGTTCTCCAGCCCGTGGGCTTGTAAGGGACTGCAGAAGGGCCACCCCAGGTGATGAGCTGCAGCACCTCACCAGGTTGCTCTGCAAACTGGTGACTGAGTCATGGGGTGGCCTGGTGCTTCAGGCCACAGCCCTGGGCTGGCCACCTCAGTGAGTGTACTGCTTATCTGAGGGACCTGTCAGGGCTGCAGCCTTGAGCCTGCTGGCAGCAGAGGACTTTGCTCTACCCCACGTAGCGAGGTGAAGGCCAGAGACCAAGGAATGCAAAGATTAGGACTGGGGCGAGGCAGAGAAGAAAGGTCTGGTGTCCATAGCTGCCTCAGCCCACAGGCTCTGGTTCTCCTGTGGAGATGATGGAGTGCAGAGTGGAGATGGTCTTTAAGAAACAGTCCAAGCCCTCGGAGCCCAGGCTGTCAGCCAGTCCTGGTTCTGCTGGTGCAGCTGGACGGTGGGTATCACCGGTGTCACGGCCCATTTCCCTGGCCTGGTGGCACCACCACCTTGTCCAGCCAGAGCAGGGTGAGCTGGGCTGAGCGCAGCTGCCGGCGGTGGATGCGGCGCAGCCGCAGGAGGTAGAGGACTATGGCCAGCGCTACAACCAGGATGCAGGCAAAGAAAAGATAGTGGTTGTAGACGAAAGAGAGGCGCAGCCAGGAGGTGTGGGCTTGCCGGATGCTCTCCTGACGGAGATCCCTGCGGAGAGGAGTCAGGACAGGCAGTGAGATGCCATGGGGTACTGCCAGGGTCCTGCGCTGCCGCTCCCCTTGCCGGGGTGGCAGAGCCCTTGCCCAGTGCGGTAACTCCT